TTGACGAACTTTTCTATTCCAATTTCTAATTGTACCTGAATTTCTCCATGAATGTTGGCATTTTCACCTGTAGCGGTTCGAAGTCGCAACCTCGCTGGTAACAGTTTCTTACGGCTGTTTATAACTGTCTGGCGTATAATGGTTCTGGTCGCTCCGGTATCCACCAACAACGTATTATTTTTACCATTTATTTCTCCATCTACATATACACTATCTTCACGACATTTCAAAGAAGCTATTAGTATGAGAGGGTCTTTGGAGAAGTTCGGGATTGAAGCTGCCCCCTAAGGCCGACCAGTTCTAATTTTCCTGATGGTGAGTTTCTTGACTTGCGTCGTACCTAGGATGCTTACAGGAACTTCGTACGTGTCCTATTTCGATACAATTCCAGCATCTTATGGTCTTCGTTTTCTTGTATGTCATGCTTTTCATAATATCAACGAGATGGTCAAGTTTATCTTTATCTCCTTCCTCTTTTACAGTCCTAACTTTGCTATACCCGCCAGAGGCCTGCGTAGCTGACTCGTATTCGAGGGTGGCAGATAAAACATCAATCAGCGTCTTGTGACGAGCTAATCGTAGTGTTCTCTGCATTTCATGATCACGAAGACCATCAATAAACGTTTGAACGGCCAACTTTTCCATCATGTCTTCGGAAGCTGTTGGATAAGCGTATCGTACTAATCTGGCAATACCTACCTCATATTCTTGAAGAGCCTCATCTTTCTTTTGTCTTCGATTTTTAAGCTGCAACTGATATACATGCTCCAAGTGTTCGTGGCCATATCGCATATTTAACTTCTTCTTAAGTTGTTCGAAATCATCCATCTCCTCTACGGCTATGGTCTGAAGCACATCTAAGGCATCTCCTCGAAGAACGATAGTCAAGTTTACAGCCTTTTCTTTTTCAGACCATCCGTTCGCTCTTGCAGCTGATTAGAACTGGTTCATGTAGTTATTTCATGACGATTTCTCGTCGAAAGTTGAGACTTTGACATGAACAGAACCTCCACTTCCTTCAAATTTCGGCCGTGTTTCCAATTTACATTTCGTCTCGTCTTCTTTTGTCTCTACTGTAATTGGATTGTTTTTTTTTTCTCTGCTGTCCCTGTTTCCTCCATCTATCTTCCTTTCCATCTCTTTCCATATCTTTTCTTCGAAGGCCAACATGTTATATAACAAAGCACTGTTAATCTCAAAGCGGGCGGTGACGTTCCAGAACTTATTCGATCGTCGTAGAGCCAGACAGGTTTTAGCATAGGGGGACCCGTGGATCTTCTTACTAGAAAATACTCGAATGAAAAAAGATGTTTACAGTTTAGATATGAGTCATTATTTATCGTAATAGTACTAAAACATTTTCTCTGCAATATAATATAACATCTAACGTTGTTGTTTTCCTTAGAAGCATGCATGTTTTTTTAATATACTTTACAACTTCCAGGAATCTCTCGTTGGTCATTCAAACACTTGGAGAAGCATTACCAATGCTGCCTTCTGGAGCTCCAGTCAGGAATGTCTTTTTAAATCGTACTCGTGGAAAGATATGAATAGCATTTCCATTATATATATATATATATATATATATATATATATATATATATATATATATATATATATATATATATATATATATATATATATATATATGCTTTAAAGAAACTTAAAAACAAATCGGTCGGATATACACACATAATAATAAATAATATAGACCCACATATTATAATTTCTAGCACGTTATAATCGACTAAATACGTTATTTATTAACTGGATTTTGGTAATCCTTTAATTTATTGCCAATAACTTTAATAAAAATGACAAATGTGCATTCTAATTTAGCATGAATAGGTTATAGAGTCTATAGTAAAACATAATTAGGAATCAATACAAATATTTATGTGTTTCTTCAACACGTTTTTATTGTTCCATTTAACATTTACATAATATCCAAGTCTTTAAGAAGCAGATGCCTTAATTGGCTTGAATATTAATCGTATTCACAGATCTAATACGCAGAAATATGCGTAATAAAACGAGAAAATGGCATGATGAAAAATCGTTCATACATAGTTTAATTTATTCTGATTAATATTAATATTAATTAATAGAAGAGAGAATTATTTCATAAAATATAATAATACTTTATTAAAATGTAAAGGCGATTTTTGAATATTTTAATTTTTTGTTAAGCTTACTGCCACCGTTTTGTAATGATACAATGATTTTCGGCTTGAAAGACCGCAGTTTTAAGTTATTTCTTCGTGGTGTTTTATGTGTATCTTCGACAGACAATTGATTATCGAAAACAATGTAAAAACAATTTAAGGGTACTTTTGAATTCTTATGCTATAATATATAATGTTTGGTATCCGATCTCTTCTTGATTTGCCTGCTGCTCTTCTCCAGAAGTCCATTTCTGTTGCTAGTATCAGTTTCTCTGTTCTTTGTTTCATTGGTCAAACTTCACTGCCATATGTGATTACACTTTTAAGTATGGTGTTGTATATGAGTTGTTTGTTCGCTTTAGATATTGTTTCGTCCCACAGAATGCCGTTCATCATGGATATGGCTTTTCTACCCTGTATGTTTCTGTCTTTTATAGCAGCATCGAGTGTTCCATCTTGAGTTATCTTCATACCCAAGTACTTGTGACTTGTAACTTCAGCGTGTTGATATATATTATCTATTAATATCCTATATCTAGAATCTATTCTGCTGTTGACCAGTGCTTCCTCAATAGCCCATAATTCTGTGCTGTCAAAAGCTTTCTCGTAGTCTATAAATGCTAAACAGCGAAGAGAAGATTACTAGGAATGAAATATTAGAAAACGATAAGATCGAGGAAAGCTGGGAAAAACTCAAAAATAACATAATTACCTCAGCAACAGAATCACTTGGAGAGAGGAAAGTAACGAACATTAACATATCAAAAAAGAAAACACCATGGTTTAAAGGAGGAAGTGAAGACAACAAAATGGAGAGTGATCAGAGGACAAAGAAACCAGATCAACGAACTAATAAAAACGAAACACTTTCAGAAGGAAACATGGATAGACTACTTTCGATCCCTATTTGTTATAGGTAACTATAATGAACACCAGAGGTGACGACAAAGAAAGAAATAAATATTGAGGATATTATTAGAGGACAGAATACCGAACGAAGTCCTAAAGTACGGAGGACCAGATCTAACCAAACAACCAATCCAAAAAATAATAGAACAAAACAAAATGCTCAAGATATAATTATTTCATTACATGTATTAAGCGAAATTGGTTTTATTTTTTATTATTTTATTCATCACAGTTTAATTTGTTTTTATTTTCGTCAATAAAATTTATGACTTAATATTACCTTTACTGTTACTCGTAAAAACCGTAATATAGTAGTTTATTTGCAGTATTCAGAGCCTTGTTAATTACTTTGATCTTTTTAGTAAAATTTTCTTTGGCGGTTTTTCTGCTTTGGCGGCTAATATTTCTTCTATGGACAATAAAAAACAAGTGTTTTTCTTGCTGCACGTTTCATTAATTACTAAAAATATTAAATAATAAATGCCACTCAAAGTTTTATATTTGTTTTGTAATAAAAGTGTATAACAGACGAAAACATAGAAGTATTTTTTATCTATCAAGTTAATTTTATGATTAGAGCTGGTAGTAATAATCAAAAAATATTAAAAACAAAATTGGTTTTGTTTAATGAACAGTTAGGACGCACCTCGTGTCTGTATATAATAAATTTTCACTTGATAATAAAACAGAAGTTTATGACTAGCTCTTTGAACAGTCGCAATTAAGCGAAACAGTGGGAGAAGACATAAAACATAATTTTGTAAGAAAATAAATTCTGAAATATCAACAAAGAATCAAAATAAAAAGTCAGGACGGCCTGGACGGATATGTACAATATTGTATCAACTAGGAATTGCCCAATAATTGTCAAATCACGTTATATTCATAAAAACAATAAATAAACACCTACTACATTTCTTCACAACTGTTTTAAATTGAACTTAATCTTGAACTATACTAAAAGGCTAAGCCCTTTTCTTGTGCGCAATACTCCTAAACGGTGATAGATAGGAGAATAATTTTTTCGAATAATTAAACAGATTGTTGAGTAGATTCTCCTTAAGGTTTCAAATTTAAAAAATTCGAACCGGTTTAAAAATGGCGGCCATAAAATGAATTTTTCCTATAGTAAAGTATAGGAATTTTACAGGTTTCATTCTTCAAAATTTAAAGTCCTAATTTTCAATGTATTTTTAAAATATGCCTGCGTCTACTTTTTTCTTATACTTACTGATTGAATTCAGAATTATGAAACCGGAAGTATTTACTTCCGGTAAGATATCCCAGCCTAACCTAACCTAACCTAAACTAAACTAACCAAATTGCAAACAAAAAAACCAACTTCGAATTTCAAGTACAAAATATTTATTAACTAGCGGACCAACTCGACATCGAGTTTTGATGTAAGTTTTGCTGATATTTAAGAGGGGCGGAGTATAACGATCCATCGTTTCCGTTGCCTGGTGTAAATGTTCCAAAAATCCTAAAAATAAACTGTATAGACGCCAATTTTTTTAAATTGAAAATCGATACAGTAGTTTTTTAGGATTTTCAGGAAGATTTACATTAGGAAACGAAAACAATATGATTATTAGACTCCGCCCCTCTTAAATAAAAAACGGAAGTAAAACAGGAAGTAACTTTTTTTTGCATATTTTAGATTGTAAAATGCCACGTTTAAAAAAAAGAAGTCGGTTTGAGAATTCGCGGCCCCGTCCATATGCTCTGGAACACCGTGAAAGAAACCAGAACCTGCGAGCAACTCAACAACAGAATAGAGAAACTCGCCTAGCTTTCATTGATAACATCACCACTCCACAACATTCAACCTCTTCGTTTATTGCCCTTGAAGAGTTGCTGAATTCAACCACTGAACTTTCTGCTAACTATAAGAAAAACATACGCTCCTATAACTCTTCCTTGGCAATGGTCAGCACTGGAATGAGCCTCGACAGTGATTCAAGAAATGGTCCATACCGTTTAGGAAGATGGACGTCAACTGATGGTTCAGTCCTTTCATACGGTCAAGTGTACATCTATGATGTCGAAATAGCTGCACAATTCAGAAAGGCTCAGCCTTCAAATCAAGGATGTGACCCAGTCCTTATGAAAAATCTCACACGTGAACTTCAAGCAGTCAATCGTTACATGAGTGATTGCAAAACACTTAATGAAATGATTGCTTCAGATTCATCCAACGGGCAGAATCTTCTAATGAACATCGTTGAACAGCGTGGAAACGCTGTTCAACGGGTTGAGGAAACTGCGGGTGATGTTGCTGCTGTTTTTCAAGCAATAGATGACGAACCTCCTGGAAATCAACAGATCCAAATATATCCAAGAGATGCAGAGTCAGTTCTAAGAACAATCGGTATAACTGTCCCTAAACTTGATGGTCTTGCTTACCTACTACTATTCCCTTATGTAAACCTTCCTGAAAATCCTAAAAAACTACTGTATCGATTTTCAATTTAAAAAAATTGGCGTCGATACAGTTTATTTTTAGGATTTTTGGAACATTTACACCACGCAACGGAAACGATCATGAAATGCATCAAGCAGAGAAAGCTGGAATATTTCGGACATGTAATGAGAGGTCCCAAATATAGATTGCTACAAAATATCATGCAAGGAAAAATAGCAGGCAAACGCATGGTAAGCAACGTTCTGAAAGGACATGGTACATGAAGAAGAAGAACGGAAACGATGGATCGTTATACTGCGCCCCTCTTAAATATCAGCAAAACTTAGATCAAAACTCGATGTCGAGTTGGTCCCCTAGTTTTATACTTAAATACTATGTAATATGATATCAAGACTAATCGATTGTAGTTTAAAATATATTTTAAACTAACTAAAATTTGACGTTTCGATTTCCATTTTGAAAATCATTCCCAAAAAAAGATTACTTTTAAAAATTCTGAAAAATATCTATCTATATAAAAGCCTATGATCCTACTTACTCCTCTTTCTACCTCTTTCTTCTTCTTCTTTAAGTTCCATCTTCTATCGAAGGTTGGAAATCACCATGGCCATGCGGACTCTGTTAACTGCCGCTCTAAAAAGTTCTGCACTACTGCATTCAAACCATTCCCTTAAGTTCTTAAGCCAGGATATTCTTCGTCTTCTCACATTTCGCTTTCCTCGGATTTTGCCCTGCATAATAAGTTGTAATAATGCGTATTTGTGCCTTCTCATTACATGTCCTAAGTACTCACGGGTTCGTCTTTTAATAGTTAATATTATTTCCGCCTCATTTCCTATCCTTCTAGTTACTTCCACGATTGACATTCTTTGAATCCATGACATTCGTAGGATTCTTTTGTAACTCCAAAATTCAAAGGCGGCAAACTTATTCAGATGGACTTGTTTTAGTGTCCACGCTTCCAAGCCATAAAGTAGAGTAGAGAACACGAAACATCGAAGCTTTCTCAGGCGTAGTTCTAACCTTATATTCCGACAACAAAGAAACTTTTTAAGTTCAATGAATTATGTACGTGCTATTTCAGTACGTGTCTTAATATCTTTGGTTTGGTCTACATCTGATGTTAACCATGTTGCTAAGTATTTATAGTTATTAACACTCTCAATTGCAGTATCTTCAATAGTCATCTGGATATTTGCATGTGCAGATTTAGTCATGTTCATTTTGTAAATCATTGTTGTTATCCGTCATTATTACTGTATCGTCTGCAAAACGTAAGTTATTCAAAACTTCTCCATTGATAGATATACCTTCTATTGTTTACTGTACAAACACTAATCGAACAATGTCGAGATGTCAATTGTGACATATTTATATGTCTAGTCCACTTCGAAAAAGCTTTCGACAAGGTCGAAAATATATTAATATAATAATTATATTAAAAATAGAGAATTTGATAGATCTCAAATATGTAAACACGCATGGAATAATGAACATAGGGTTCAATGGAATAATTCAAATGTAGTCCTAAAAGAAACGGATGGTAAAAAAAGAAAAATCAAAGAAGCGCCTTTAATTATGCTAAATGAGACCAATTGTGTCGCAAATTCCTCGGCAGAATATAGTAGGATCTGGTTACCCATAGTGAAAGAGGAAGTTATTAATAAGAAAATACCAGTATTAGTTAGTAACATATAGAGGATACATCATTTATGTTTTTTAAATAACAAACATATAAAATCAGAATTTATTGTTTATTGACGGCGAACTAAATGCACGACTAAATATTTACCCTGTCGTGATAGTATTATGAGGTTTTTTTTCTGGTTTTTTCCCTTATAATTTACTATGAAATCACTAACAGGAGAATTTTACTGTCATCATGGCATGTGTTTGTCTTTTTAAAGACGAATTAGATGCTATGATTTTTTTCTGACGGATATTCTCAAGTTAAAGTTAATTTCATGTAATGGAATGAACTATCTTATAAGTAAAGTCGTCCCAGGAGCGCAACTCAACAATATTGGCAATATCATTTTAAAGTCGTCTATTTCAAAATGTATAATGTATGTCTGAATTGTCAATATAAATGAGTCAGATAAAATTAAATTATTAGAAGAATTGTTCACTAAGTACAAAAAAACGAAATTTGTTTAATTTACTGTTTGTATTTTGAGAACGATTTCCGAAGTGGAAATTGAAACGTCAATAAACTTTATCCATATCCGTAGATAGCTTTTTGTAAGGTTTTATCCAAGTTGAAACATTGTTTTTTTTTGGGCATTTTCAAAGCACAATAATTAATTTACAATTAGAAATACACATTTTTTACGCCTCCAATTTTACAACAAAAGTGAATCAAAGTGAAATTGACCGTCAAAATAAAATTTTTTACAAATCATGAATGTGTTGCTTGTGTGAGTCCATTTCAAATAGGTAAAGAAATAATAAATAAGACTTACTCACAATCAATTTAATTTAACTATCAGACGACCGGTTTCGCTTTCTACAATATGCAAAGCATCGTCAGGTCTCGATACAAAGTTAAACAAATGCTGAAATGATAAAAACCCATATTAGGGTGTTGTCTAATAAAGATAAACAAATTAGATGTTATAAATTACAATAATTATGCCAATATTACATGTCTGTGGTTTTATTTAAATGATTGAGTTGAATAAAAGGTATAAAATTTTTTTTTAAAAAGGTTAAACAGACAATGTAAGGTCCACAAATTGTTATAAAATCTCTTCTATTGTAATAAATTAATAAATGAGCAAATAAATAAATAAAATAAACATTACTTGCATGCCGGTACTCTATTAATAGATGGATGGTAGAACATGTTTGAAACTACTTTATATTGTTGAATGGAGAACTCAATACTATTATTGCAGTTGTTTGACAGTAAACGGGAAGTTCTTGAGGAGATAGATTTGATACAATGAATTTGAGATATATGTGAGAGTGTTTGTTAAATGTAAGTGATGTAATATACTATTGTGTTATTAAAAGTTATTTATACTTATTCCAGAGATATATTTTTGAAATGTGTGATATTTATTGAGTAACTGTTTTATGAAGGTGACATTTTATGACAATGAATAAGTGTAGATGTAAAAATTGTGTGGTTGTGCAATTATTTTCAACCTTGTAGTTATCAAATTACTTTGATAAAGTTCTATTGGCAATGAGTTAATTATTGGAATAGTCAAGTGAATAAAATGGTGAAATACAAACACTTAGGGATAATTTAAACACACTAAAACAGAAAACACTTAGAAGGGACGAAACAAACATTGAATTTAAAAGGGGGAAGGACTTTAATGCACTACATCATAGTCTTGGGCACAATGAGTTTTTTATTGTTGTATCTATTAGATTTTAGTGGTAAATTTTGACAGATGTAGGTTAGCATGTGACAGTTCTTCTGTTTCTCAATACTGTAAGTTAAGTTATCTACTTTCATAAATGTTTAACTTACTGAACCAATTAAAGTAAATTCTTTGGCAACTGAACATGTACATTTAATAATCAAATGTATAATAAGTTTGCAAAGTTTTTTATTTATTTTTTTTTTTATTTGAAATTGATGTAGGTATGAGTTATCTGTCCGGGTATTTTTTAATTATTAGAGATATTTTTCAAAATCTGATATATTAATATCTAATATACTAATATGTAACCAAAGCAACAAATGGATAATTATTGTTGGTAATTAATTTGTGGGCTCAAGAAATTGACTGAATTATAAAGCCTTCAATAATTAGTTGGTAGTTCTAATATCCGACAGTTGGAACCGGAAATTGTTATACGAACAGGTAGAATGATCGTCTATTTAAACCGGTATAAGGTAAATTTATTCTTATTTCAATTTTCGGTGTCATATGAACACATATTCCTCACACCTACATGGACAATGGTGAGTTTGTACAATTGTTTTAAGTAACACTTTAAAAATTTTTTTCAATTAATAGCTGTTTGTGAAAATTAATATTTCTATTTGAAATGTAAATTTGTGTATAATTGTAATTAGTAAAGATGTATTCAATTAATACAGCTAGTCTGAACGATTAACATGTTATTTTAGATGATAATCAAAACACGTGTTGAGTTTGAAATCAAATTTTTTTGTAAGATGAGTATATTTCGGAACCAGATGGAATGTAATAATAATTGTGGGTTAAATAAGTTGAGGTACCATACCAGTTCAATACTGATATTTAATGTAGTTTTAGGAAAAATTGTTTCGGTAGTATGTTAAAATGTTAATAAAAAATTTTTTACCTATAGACATAAACTGGTTTACACAAACCCTTAATTCCAGGACAAAATCTGACAAAACTATAAGCCGCTGTCCTTTATTAGTTACTATACCAAGAATTTGAATAATAAGTGATTGTAAAACAAAATTGAATATTGGAATTTTCATGCTATCTGTAAGTTTGAATTTAAAAATATATAGTTAACACCAAATTTTCAAATTATATGCACTTTATGCTCACTTTTATAAAAATATGCAAAATTTGACATTTTTGCATTTTTTATGCATTATATGCAAAATATGCAATTTGCATATTTAGTAATCAGTTTACTCATTTTTACCATTTTTTGAGGCATGATAGTCGCTTTCCAAATTAGATATTTTTTATAAGCCGGGACTGTATAAGAACCACTGTTGTCTTTTATCTGTCATCTGTATTTTAAAAATATTTTATTGACTTACGCATCACAGGTGAGTAGGTGAAGGCAGAATAAAATATTATAAGCAGAGATAGTATCGAAGGTGTAACTGTATGCAGCTAAGAAATCTAGCGTGCATCGGTGTGTGAAATATTTAGAATTACAGGTGGCCACGAAGAAAGAAAAGAATCAGTGGAAAGATAAGAATGTTCGATATCTAATTGTTATTGCAAATATGTTTTT